TATACTTTTAACTCATAAATATTTCACCCAAAGACTTCTCCTTGAACCCCCAGAGCTAAAATATGAGTAAAGGATGAAAATTGCAGAGAACTAGATTTTAGCTCATTATTAGTGTAACAGGATGTTTTGACACAGTCTGCTGACATAAAGGAAGCCCTGCTGGGAGGATATAGGGTTCCCCTATTGACCCTTCCTTTCTACAACTAAGCTCACAGTCTCCCACTACCCCAGTGTAGGTGCAACTGTCAGTAGATTAAGCTCTTATCCTCTTAGCCAGTTTATGTCTAAGGAAAGGCCCATGCACCAGAGAGTTGGGGAAAACAACCCCTTAATAAGTTCTAGGGCTGAGAAGAACAATTTTGTAAAACAATGGGAATTAGTTCAATTCAAAGCTATAGTGAGTTCAATTCAAAGCTTTATTACAAGTGATGGGGAAGAGGGGAAGGAGAGACAGGAAAAGGAGGACCTGAGTTGTAAACTCAGGCATACACCCTAACAGTATAATTCACATAAAGGCAAGGCTGGGGGTGGAGGGGAGGGGAAGACACAGACACACAGGGTCCATTCAGCAAGAAGAGGGTGCTCCAAAGAGCCCTGAGGGTAGGGTTCTTATGCTCTGATTTTGGGTAGCCCCCCTGCAGCGGCAAAGTTGCATTTCAGGGATCAGGGCAAAATATTATTTTGAGGAGTGTGTTATCAGGAAGAAAAACAAGCTGGCGGTAGACAAAATATTATTTGGAAAACAAACCTTTGATAAATGTTATTGTCAGTATTTTTCAGTGAGTATGTTCTATAAGCTTACAGCTTCCCTTAAGGGGAGATTGTCATGATGATCTCAAGACCATCAGACCCAATCTTATAATGCAGGGCTATACTGTAAGTTTCTAGCCAGTGCTGAAAAACTCAGGAACTTTGGGAATGACAAAGCAATATCCTTACTGGCTGTTAAGCAGAAAGAGCCACTGACTCAATGATCTTAAAAACAGAATGACTCATTCTCAATCACTTTCTTCTTATTTGAATCTCTCCCTGGAGGGGTAGTAGTGAAGGCATCTTCTCTCCCTGTCTGTCTTCCAACAGCATAGGGATAATATCCACATAGTATCTAGAGTAAGGAGCATCAACTAGGCAAGCTTGACCCTGGGCCTCTGGCTACTTTTTCTGCTTTGTTTCTTTAACTTAATCATATGCAACCAAATAATGGTCATGTCCCAGATGGAAACATCCAGCCTTGGAAGCAACTTTGTGAGTCTGAGAGGTCCAGAAACCCTGGATCCATTACTTGGAGCTGACTGGTGGCAGAAGGGAGTTTCTGCCCCAGAGAAGATAATCATCAATAAAAGAATGGCCACCCACCATCGTCCAACTTGACAAAGCACTTGAACCTAGAGGGAATCATTTGCACAGTCAAAACTGAGATGAAATATAAAATTCCTATTAAGTAGTCCTACCAAAGACTTCATGTTTTGATGGTTTTAAGTCTCAGTCTCCCTGAGAAAATAACAGCAGTTATTACTGTTTGTTTTTAAATCTTCAGTAACTCAAGTTTGTGAGAGCCTACATATTTATATATTTTTCTGTGTAGGAAAAAATTTTTTTTAAGATTTTTTTTTTCTGTGTAGAAAATAAACAGCTATTTCATACCTGATTCATATTGAATAGAGTGACTTTTACTCCTCCTTTAAGGGATACTCTAGACAAGAGGTAAACCTAAACTATTAATACTTTACCCCTAGAGAGGTGGAGGGGGTTGCAAAGATGGCAGAGTGTGAGAAAAAGAGCCTAATTCGTCTCATTAGAGGCCAGGCTTCTCTAGGACTGAACCTAATCACTAAGTGCATGAATCCATCACAGAGGGGTCCTTTAGTAGAGGAGAGATCAAAGTACCCCAGCAACCCTGGGCCCAGAAGTGGTTGGTAATTGTTAGATGAGGAAAAGATAAATAATTGGATATGTCCTAAGTGGAATTACTGCCTTAGTAGGTAGTGAGTTCCCTTTCACAAGATATCTTCAAGATGAGACTGAATGACCACTTGTCAGGAATTTTGTAAAAGTGATTTCTATTTGGATATGGGTTGAATTAGGTGACCTCTAAACTCTGGGAGGGCCCTTGCAACTCTAGAATTCTAGGATTATGTTATCTTATTGACAGACAAAGGCTTTAGTATAAAATCTGCCTCCAGCAGAAAGCCTCTACAAGGATGACATAGCCCTAGAAGCCCAGTAGAAACAGAAAGGGTACTTCTGTTCCCTGGAAGTTCCAAAAGTGACAGGGAATAATGAAGAGCAAGAAAGTCACTGGGCCACTTTAATTGCCAACTCCACTCAGTTTAGGCTCCACATCTAAGTCAGAAAGGAGCTGCCAGTCCCAGCAGCCACCAAATACAGTCACCAATAGACTCACCCATTCCTAAGGCTCTACCGCTTCCTAATTGACACTGCTGTTTCCTGCATCACCAATCTTTAAGATCTACCCAAGCTTCCCCACCCCTCCACACCCCCAGCCCCACCCCATTCCTCAAAGATGCTACCACCTATATTCAAACTGTCCTCCTATCTTCTTACACCCTCTTTACATCCTAGCACTAGCTGAAACCTGGCTTCCCTTTACCTCTTCGATGATGGCCACTCTTTGCATCATGTCTCTGGAATAATATGGACAGACTTGTTTCCCACTGTCACCTCTAGGCTTTCCCCTTGCTATTCAACAATCTTTTAAGTTCATTTCACCAACTTATAGCCAATCCTTATACTTTTCAGCTACTGTGGGACACTCCTCCATTTTCCCCAATGACCAGGGGCTTTTTTCCACCCATTAATCTCTGCCATCACTTATGGTAGCTTCAGTATTTACGTGGTTTATCTTATGAACATTCTCATCTCCTCAGCTATTTACATGATACCTGGAGATACAAACATGGAATGCAACACTGTTCCTATCTTGTATCATCATGAAAAACTGTTCCACCTCCACAGTCCTGAACTCTTGAAATTTCTCCCTATTAAGAATTTCTGGAGAGGCAGAGCTAAGATGGCAAAGTAAAGGCAGTGACTTGCCTAAACTCTCCCCCAAACCCTCCAAATACCTTTAAAAATGACTCTAAACAAATTCTAGAGCAGCAGAACCCACAAAAAGATGGAATGAAACAAATTTCCAGCCCCAAACAACTTGGAAGTTCAGCAGGAAAGGTCTGTTGCACCAGGGTGAGAGAGAAGTGCCAGCACAGACCCAGAGACCAGCTCCAGCAAACCCGGAGCAGGCTTCAGGGCCACTGAATCACTCACAGCAGTGGCAGTTTCCAGAATTCTCAGCCCACAGATGCCAAAGACAATGTAGAAGGTCAGCAGAAAAGGTCTGTCACACCTGGGTAAGAGTGGAGTGCAATCCAGTGCAGGCTGTGCCAACAAAGTCCAGAGCCACAGCAAACCAGGAGCAGGCCTTGGGAGTGATTGAATCAGCAGCAGCAGCTGTGTAGCAGTGGCTGTTTCTGGAGCTCTCAGCCCCCAGACAGTAAGGAGGTCAAACAACTGGTCTGAAGGAGATTACAGGGTTCTTTTTGCTAGCACTGAGGCAAGACTCTGTTGCTTTGCCCATATTTGGATCTGGGTCCTGGGTGGCAGTCCCAGGGTGGGGGAGAGCATGAGCATAGCAGAGCTTGTAGCCACAGTGGAGGGGGGACCCTACTCACAGTTCCAGGGCATAAAAGGCTGCTTGTGGTCACTCAGAACAGAGCACAGGACAGGAAAGAAGTAGATCACACCACCTTGAAAGAACTGAAAACTTACAGGTCCCTGTAAGTATCTCTGAGAACAGCTGCACAAAATCCCTAAAGCTTGGGATAGTGTGCCCTCTACCCTGGAAGCAGAGTCCTACTTTAATAAAGACTTAAAAGTCAACTAATAGGCTGGGAAAACAATGGAAAAAAACTGACTATTGAAAGTTACTATGGTGACAAAGAAGATCAAAATACACACTCAGAAGACAACAAAGTCAAAGCTCTTACATCCAAAGCCTCCAAGAAAAACATGAATTGGTCTCAGGCCGTGTAAGAGCTCAAAAAGGATTTTTGAAAATCAAGTAAGAGAAGTAGAGGAAAAATTGGGAAGAGAAAGGAGGGTGATGCAAGAAAATCATGAAAAAAAGAAAGAGCTTGATAAAGGAGATGGGAAAAAAAATACTGAAGAAAATAATACCTTAAAAAACAGGCTAGGCCAAATAGCAAAAGAATTTCCTGTCTTTCCAACTTTTGGCTACCTCTCATCTAAATCTGCTTTTCATTCCCATAGAAACCTCCAGCCACTATCTCTCCCTTGTCTTCTACCCTATCATGTTAGATCTGGCTTCACTTCACTTCAGTCTCAATCCTATAATTACATCAATTCAGTAAAGACATCCTTCGTTCTCCTACTGTTCTTACCTTGCTAATCCAAAACCCCAGATCATTCCTGTCTGCCTCCTCTGTTATTATTCCCTAGTTAAGTTAGTAAGGTCACTTCTAAAAAGAATTTTAGTATAAGGGGGCTTAAGGAGAGTAGTCTAAACTGTCCACTGTTCTCACCCCTGTCCTTTCCCACCCCAGTTCATTTGTGAAAGCCCTCATCTCTGCCTGCTGAAATATTTTTTTTGTCCATCAAGGCCCAAGTCAGCTGCCTCCTCCTCTATGATGTCCATAGCTATAAATAGCTCATCCTGCTAATATTCCTGACTGATATATAAATTTTTCCCTTACATTGCATTTGTGTACATGTTGTATCCTCCCTATTGGACTGGAAGCTCCCTGAGGTTTGGAACTATTATTTTCCAACTTTGTATCCCTAGTGCTAAGCAAAATGCCCTACATATTAATAATTTTTTACTGGATGGATGGATGGATGGATGAATTTACTGTCTTCCTCCTATAGAAAGCTCACCTAGTTTGTATAGAAAGGCATCTTCCCACTCCTAAAGGCATGTGAGGAATGCACAGCCCACACCTGGACAGAGAAAACCAGCCAGATCATTGATTCTCAAAACCTTTATTGATAGCAAAAAAATCAAAGCAGCCTTAGTGTCTAGTTAAATGTGAAGGTATAAGTGGCCAGGCCTTAGGACCTGTGGTACACTGAGGGGAAGATAAAAGCAGAAGAGATCCTGGAGAGGACACTGCCCCAGGCTGCTCAGTAACACTGTGTGGGACAAAGGGTTTCTGTCTTTAGCCAAAGCAGGGCCTATAGCCTTTCACAAATAAATGTAGAGTACAGGATGCTAGGGGGGTGGGGGAGGGAAGAGAGGGGGAGATAGATAACAGGACATACAGTCTCTTAGAGATAAAGGAAAACAGGGAGTGAGAGAAAAGGAGCAATGGAAACAGAAAGGGGTGGGGGGCTCAGAAAGATGGCTAGGGAGGTGGGGAGGTAAACCAAAAGAGACTGAGAGAGAGAGAAGTAGTAGGAGACATGATAGGAATGGGGGGACACCCAGGCAGATCTCAATTCTGGGGAATCTTCAAGAATGCCCCCTTACACTCATATACAAAGCTGAGCCAAATTATTCACACCCCCTCAGAAATAAGCTTCTTGTACAGGCAATGGTGAGGAGAGCTTACTCCCCTAGAAGAACTGGGAACAGCAGGCTGGGCATCGTGTGGAAGGGTTAGGACCTCCTAGGGCTGGTCCTTAACTTCAGGGTCTTTGTCATAGATGTAGCTCCCCACTGCCCCAGTGTTCACTCCTGTTGAATCGTAGAGAAGAAGACAAGTCAGAAGGTCAGGGCAGAGGGCAGAGTCCAAAAAGGACTTATAGTTAGGGTGGAAAACTCAGGATGTGGGTCAGGGAGGATCCTGAAGACAACAGGACTGCCTCCCAGGAAAGTATAGATAGAAGGATTTAAAGTTCCTCCCCATTTCCCCCTCCCAACCAAATGAAAAAGGTTCTATGCCAAACTCACCCTTTGGTCCAAATAGAATTCCATAGCAAGGTTTATGACAATATGGTTGTCCATCATGCTAGGGAGGGATGAAGGAGACAATGTCACTAACAGACTGGGAATTTCCTCCATGGAGATTCCTCCATACCCTCCACCTAGAAAGTAATTCTCTTATACCCAATAATAGTCCAATTTCCCACTGTGTACTGAAGAGGAGAAGGGTAGTCTGAGGACAAATGGACCCCTCAGGATCTTCTCCTGTCTTCTGGTGTGACAGTATGTACGTGTGTGTGTGTGTGTGTGTGTGTGTGTTAGTGAGTGGAGGGAATAGTACACTGGGACAATCGTGGACAACAGAGTTTTAGGCTGAAAGTCAAGAGATCTGAGTTCCAGTTGACTCTGCCACTGACCTCCTCTCCGACCTTTGGTCTCAGTTTCCTTTAGTGTAAAATAGAGACAGTAACCTCTTCCATGCCTCCCTATCAAGACTTTTGTGATGGTCAAATGAGACAATGGATAAGGAAGTCCTTTGTAAACTGTGAAGACTGTTTGCACCTGTGTAAAGTATGACTTAAGGTACTTCAAACTCCTGTCTGTGATTTGTCTGTTTGAAGTCCTGTTCAGGCCACCAGAGGGCAGGATATACTAAAAGAGCAAGTGTGTGAAAGAGGAACCACCCTCAAAATGTCCTGGTCCCTGTCATCACTCCCTGTGGTTCTCGGGCTGCACAGTTCCCCTTGCCCTTCACTTACCTCATTTTGTCTTCACATACCCTCATGCCTGACTTCACTAACTTCCTGCCCTCTCACTATAGATTCTTGTGCTCAGTCCCTCATTCACCAGTTCCTCCTACCCCTTGTATCTCTTTTTTTAAACCTTGTGCTTTCGCCTCCACTCACCTCTGCATGTCCACCAGGTGTTAGTGTCTTTCCACAACGCTCACAGCGAAGGCAAGGCCGGTGCCAATCTTTTCCCAGGGATGTCACCTTCTCCGCTAGATGGGCGTGGGTATGATCAGACATTCTCTCCCCAAACACAAATATACAGTGACCTAAACCACACACAACTTGCACACATATGGCCTTAAGACAATCACTCTCATACATGCACTAAAATACAGGGTCCTGACAAGCAAACACACAGTGCCCTGAGATCAGAGACATAAAGTGCTCTGAAACACCTTCACACACATAGTCCTAAGTGCTTTGAGATATAAACACACACACACACACACACACACACACACACACACCACTTCAAGACAGAACATACCTTTCTAAGTTTATAGTGTGAACTGGGATGAGGGATTGGAGGGGAGACAATGTGTAGGTGGGTGGAAAACACTTACCAAAATAGACCCTCTTGTTACATCGAGGACACATGTTGGGCTCCCCAGTGAAGGTTGTGACACTGGATGCTAAAACACGACAGTAAGGAAATGGAGCTAAGCTGCCACTGCCTGAGACGCCTCAGTCCTTCCCCGACTTCCCCAACTTACCTTTGCTGGGCCCTCTGGAGGGGCCACTGGCTTTCCGATCCTCGACTCGAATTGGGTGTTCAATAGGGCCGGTGACAGGAGCCTCCTCTGCCTGTGGTTTCTCATAGATGTAAGAGCCTGCGCCCCCAATGTTTACACCTGCACAAAAGCTCAGGTCACAAATGAACAATGGATCATAGAATCATAGATTTAGAGTTAGAAGGGATTCAAAGACCACCTAGTCCTACTCTCATTTTAGAGATGAGGAAATTGAGATGCAGAGAAATAACTTGCTCAAGGTCACATAAGTAACAAGTGATGAAGGCAGGATGAGAAGGTCACATACACAAAGACACAGCTCTCCTTCATACATATATAAATACACAGATCATGTGCAGATCCTGGCATATACTAGGTACTTAATAAATGTTTGTTAATTGACTGAATGGACATGAAATGATGGCTTACATGGCTTTCCCCACTTGCCCCCTCACCTTTGTAACCTCCATCTAACTGAAATATCACCAACAAAGTGGTTCAGCGTCCAAATGGGATGACTCAAAACCTCCTCTCTCCAAGCTGAGCACCAGTATGAGAGGCAGTTAGCTGGTCCTATCCTTGGACCCAGGTATTAGGAAAAGAAAGGGTAAACTTTCCCCCTTCCAAACCCATCTCTAGAGCCAAAGGTTAAAGGTCAGCCGAAGGAGATAAGCATTCATGTTTGGACTATGGAGTGGTCTGAGGTTTAGGTCATAAAAGTTCACTGCAAATAAGAGGTCACAGTTTGGGGTTACTGGGTGTCAAAGGTTATTTTTTAGGTTATGGGTCAAGGATCCCTGGATAGGCAATGAGGGTCAGGGTCATGAAATTATAATTTTGAGCTGTATGATTTGAAGGTCACAGTTTGGGTCACAGGTTTGAGGGTCAAAAGTCACAGTTTAGGCAATAAGGGTTGGAAGTATAGTTTTTTCACACAGAATTGGAGGATTCAGGGGTAGTAGGATAGGCTATGCATGTTAGGGGTGGGGTCACAGAGTAGGCCACAGAAAGTTGGTTTCCCTACCTTTAGGCCCAAACAACGTAGCATAGCAGGGCTTGTGGCAAAACGGCTTCCCATCGTGCTGGGGGAAGAGAGTCTGTCAGTGCATCCTGCGGGACCAGAACCCCTTCACTTCCAAGGGGAACCTGGGCCCAGCTTGTTCATTCAACCACTTTCCCTTCAATTTCCTGTCCCCAAAAACTCTCCTCCAACCAAGTGAATGCTTTTATTTTCAAAGGAATATCATACTTCCAAGGCATATGTGTTGCAGCCTCCTCCAAATTCTATGTATCTATCAAGAAGGGCAGACAGAGGACATAAGGGGATGATGGGGGTCAGAGACTTTAGGAAAACAATATTGAAGTCACTAGGGAAACAGAGTCAGTGGTTGTCAGGAATATATAAAGTCATTAGGGGGACAGGGTCGTGGTACTTAAAAGGATGAAGCTAGGTCTTTGGGGAATCAGGAAGTCCCTTGTAAGCTAAAGTCTGCAAGTGACCCTAGAAGAATGGGTTCAGAATGGATGGGGCTCACCTCTGCATGCCCTCCAGGTGTCAATGTCTTGCTGCAACGCTCACACTTGAGACAAAATTTATGCCAGTCCTTGCCCAGGGAGCTCACTTTTTCCGCTATTGAGACATGGGAGTAGAAACAGAGAGAGTGAAAGTCTGTCTTGTGCTCTGCCACCTCTCCCTTTTCTGCTTTCCTCCTCCCAGGCACTCACCCTCAATAATGACGGGAGTCGGGATCTGGGAGATCCTACTCCCACAGTTACCCATAGAATTCCTTATAGATTCTACCCATAAAATCACAGACTCTTGGCTTCACCAATCATTCCACACCATACCCTATAAAGGAATCCCTCCATGATGAAAATCATCAAGTCTTTTTTCACACAAGTTTATGTAGCCACACCTTCCTTCAACATGCTGTAATTTTGGATTAAAACAACAACAACAACAACAACAACAACAACAAAATAAAGGCCTTTGCATTTATTTTCATCTCATTAAATTTGGCCCTTTGATATTTTAGGCAATGTGGCAGAGTAATGGGGCAGCACTGAAGCCAGGAAGACTTGTGTTTTAAGTCCCACCTATGACACATACTATGTGACTCTGGGCAAGTTATTTAATCTCCCGTTGTCTTAAGCAACTATCTAAGACTATAAACTGCAAAAAAAATGTCACCTTGCATTGGTAAAGGGAATGGCATATGCTGTTAGATATGGTAAATGTATTTTTTTCCCTGTTTATCTTGTTTTCTTGTACTTCTTTATTAAAAAAGAGGATTCTATTGTGGGACTAGTATTGGGAAATGACATCACTGTTTTATCTTTTAAAAAGAATCAATTTTTTTTAAAAAACAAAAAGTTAATGTGAAAAAGATCTGAGTGTTTTAGTGGACTGCAAGCTCAATTAAAGTCAACAAGATACAGCATTCCAAAAAAGTGTAGGACAAGAGATATGATGGTCGTCCTATGCTCTGCCCTGGTCATCTGGAATACGGCGTCTAATTCTACATACATCTTAGGAAGGACACTGAAAAACAAATAGGTTCAGGAATGCCAAGAGACTATTCCAAAAGGCATTGTTTGAAGGAACTGGGAATGCTTAGTGTGCAAAGGAAAAGTCCTAGAGGGTACTCTCACTGAAGAACTTTAAATAAATGCTAGATGACCACTGGTTGGGTATATTGTTGTAGGGTATTCTCATTCAGTTATGGGTTGGACTAGGTAAAGTCCCTTCTCAATTCTAAGATTTTATGTGGGACTGCAACCCATGTTTGGGGAAGGCATGGGCAGAATAGTCTAGTCTGGCTGGACTGAAGAACCACATGAGGTAAATTGCGAAAGGCAGAGCAATATTCAATTGTGAAGGGATGATAGGTAAAGGAAGAGGCCACAGGGAGAAGGGAGAGTTTTAAACAGAAAAGTAATGTAACCACATCTATACATTAAAGAATTATTCTAGTTGTGACAAGAAGGGTATTTACAACCCAGTGACAATGGAAATAGGAAGATATATTACAGTTCATTGATCTCCCATCTCACCTCCTCTAGAGTCTTCTTTATCCACTCCAATCTACCAGTGATTACATATCTCTTATAGTCCTCTGGTTCCTTTAGCACTTATAGACAGGGTCCTGCACCTGGCCTTCATTTCACCCATCCTGTGTCTTTTAGAGACCAAGTAAGCCCAGTCTCCCCAACCAGACAAGAAAGTCCAAAGGATTCTCCCCAGGGCTAGGGAACCCAGCTGGTTCCATCCACCTGCCCATTCCCCTGACTCCCTAAAGGTTCTATTATATCTCTAAAACTGAAGGAAACACAAAGCTATCAAGGAAAGGAGGCAGAGAATGAGAGTAGTGGTTTTGGGTAGGTGGAGGGCAACAAGCACATGTGGCTGTTAGACAAAGTAGCTGCAAATATCTAGATCATGAGGCCACTGATGCCCCTAAGCCAGGAGCCAGTCATAGCAAGTAGACTGGGGGCCAAAGGCCTTTTTCTTGGAGTTTCTCCAAATTTTAGACAAAGAAGAAATACAGATAAATGTCCTCTCTCCCCAAGCTCCCCCTACACACACTTTTTACCATATGAGCAACAGTCTGGCAGAGGAATTCCAACCTCCCTTCCCTACAGTTGAGCTGAATCTGGGGATTTCTGTTTCTGCCCCTCTTAGCAGCTTGAGAATGAGGAGAGAAAGGAGAGACCATGCCTAGCACAGTCTATATTTAGTCCCGGATTTCCTGTTGGACAATAGACACTGCTGGAAGGAAGGGAAGGAAGAAGGGAGGGGCTCCTTCCCTGTCCCATTCTCTGGCCAAGGTGATGAGAGAGACCAGGGAACAGGCACAACTGCTCTCTTCCAGCTCAGTAGAAAGGAGCTGCTTCCCCTAAGGCTCCTTCTTCCTCCCACTCCCACTCCATGAATAGCTCCAGGATAGGGGCAGAGACCAGGCACCTCCCCCAGGCAGAGCCAGTAACAATGAATCAGTACTTTGTTTTGAAAGCTGGCAGAGATGAGAAGGCAGAGGGACTGATGAGTGAGAGAGGGCCTGAGACTGGGACCTGTTTCTTATCCCCAGGTATTTGGTCAACTCCAGAGGGTGATAAGAATAGCTTCTGGACTCACCCCTCCACAGAGTTCCAAGCCACTGTCCTGCAGCCTCATCTCTTGGCTCAGTTTCTTTCCCCATACCCATAAATTCCCAATACTTATGACTTTCATTGTCCTGAAAATCCAAGTTCCTCACCAAGAGGGAATTGGAGAGTGTCAGGGACTGTAGACAAAGAGGACCACTCAGAGCTAGTATGGAAGGGAGATGGGAGTAAAGAGTCCAAGGCTTTTGCCACACTGGGTCAATCCCCAGAAACGCTGATTGGATGCCTCTTTATCTTCCCCCCTCCTTCTCCCACCAGGAAACAGCTGTTCTGATTTCTCCTCCACTAAAAAAAGAAAGAAAGAAAAAGAAAAAAATAGTTCCTTAAAGGGTCCTTTTGTGTTGAAGTTGGGGGAGAGGAAGGATATCGGTGTATCACTGTAAGGGAGGTCTAGTAGAGACAGGACACCAAACTAAATGAATGTTAGAGAATGAAAGTACATGATCAAGAAAAAGGAAGAGGGCAGGATCATCAAGGAATTCAGATGGGAAGCAAGGGGAGAACATTCCATGACTGGTGCGTGAAAAGGATTGTTTAGTACAGCTGACCCTGAATGGGTAAAAGGTAAGGAAGGGTTGTAGCCTATGTAACACAATCCTCATTTGTGAGTATTCAAAGAATACTCAAGCTATCAGAATAATAAATCACATTTCCATAGCTGTCTAGTAATGATGGTATTATCTCCATTTGTCCAGTGAAGTTTGTAAGCAATACGTCATTTGCCAGTCTGTCCGTATTGGAACAGATGACAAAGAAACATGAGAGCCCCAGACCAGAGAAAACATCCAAGATAAGCTCAGCTTTAGCTGATGTCATTTTTCTAGGGAACAAGGAATAAGCATGTGAGATCTGATCCTTGACCCTCACTTTCACTGTGTCAATTAAGTAGAGACTTCTTTGACCTCCAAGCAATCGATGAGGCATTCCAGAAGGAAAGGCCCTGTCTGCTCAGTGACTGTGCCCATTTAGAATGGCTATCACAAGGCCAAGGCCAGATCAGAGAGAAAGAAGGGGCTCAGGATGTGGCAGATATAAGTTAAGGAGGGAGAATAGAAATGGGAACCAGTGAAGTGAATTCTAGATGAATCCAGAACAGAGTAAGAGAATCCTTAGTCAGTGAGGGGAAGAGAAGGGAATATAATGAGGAACTCAGTCTAGGAAGGGAAAAGGAAGAACTCAATCTGTCTGGGTGGGCGGCCAAGAGAATCCATACTCCGTAGAGAATGTCTGGTCTGAAAGCTAGGAAGTGAGAGGACATGGATAGGTGGGTAGGAATATCAGTTCATATACAATCAAATGGATTAGGAGGAATGTCCATTCACATAGTAGTAAAATAGGAGGTAACAAGTAAGCCTAGGCTGAGGTATTTTTTATGTGAAGGAATCAGGGTCATTTGGTCCTAGACTGGGAAAAGAAACTCCAAGGAAGCCAAATCTGCAAGAGGAAAGTGCCCTGGACCTACTAGTTGTATAGAGGGAGAATAGTTTGGGAATGAAGACAAAGGCATACTATTCTTGTCTGGACTACGTCTGCACATTGAGAGATCATGCTTATACACTGAAGAAATCTGTTAATGTGGGTCTGGGCCTATGATGAGTTCCTCAGATTCAGGCAAGCATAAGGTCAGTCAAGTAAGAACATGAATAAGTTTTCCTTCACTTTGTTTCTGGCTAGGCTCCTAAGGTCTAGGCTGTCAGGTCTTACAACCACTTACTGGTACTAAGATGATCCTGGCAGGGCTTGGATGGAACCAGTCAAAAAGAACCAAAAGCCTGAAGGACAGATACTATCTCTATATAAATCTACACCACACCTGCCCCCAAAAGACACACACACACACACACACACACACACCCTCTCCCACCCTCTCCCACCCTCTCATCAGGTACATGAGGTCAGACCTTTATTCTGTCAGGGATCCAGAGGAAGCAACTGGACATTTTGGCAGTTGCTGCCCTCTTTCCTCAGGTGCAGCCCTTTTCTCTCCCTGGTTTTTCCCCACTCTCATGCCAACCTACAACCATGCCCCACCAAAGGGATGGGCTTCCCCTCTCCATCCCTCCAACCTCCATAGCCTTGATGAGCCCATCCTCCTAATTCCAATTCACAGGTCTTCCTGCTTCAGGGTCAGATCCCAAAGCATACAAGTCCCTCCACAGAGATCGAAGTTTCATCATCCTCTGAAGGCCTCTTCTCCCACCCCAAGGGTAGGGAACCTGCGACCCCCGAGGTAACACATAGCTTTTTAGTCCTTGGGTGCGGCCTTTTGACTGAGTCCAAGTTGTACAGAACAAATCCTTTAATTAAGGGGATTTGTTCTGTAAAGTTCGGATTCAAAGGACTGCACTTGAAGACCTAGAGGGCCTTTAAACAGAGAAGGCTGAAAACCTAACTCAACTGGTTAGAGGATTGAGGAGATAACCCAGTAACGTACCCTCTCCAACCTTATTGGGGATAAGGGAGGGAAGGAAGATGATTTCAGATTACTCAGTTATGCCTCTTCTAGAGCAGATGGTCCCGCCCTGGGTAAGTCTATAGCAATGAGCTACCAGGGAAGAAGGAATTAAGGGAAAAAGACTGATACTGGAGGAAAGTGGTATGCTCCCTTTGTCTAGGTATTTGACCACATTTATGAGAGAGCTGAATATTAGCGCAGTATATGAAGTATGCGTATGAGTACTGGTACCAGGAAAGGGGGAAGTGGTTCCAATGAAGATTCCCATGAACCCTTTTAGTTTCGGGGCTGCTCCACTGATACCTGTGGGACAACGTGACTGACTCATGTCCCTATCCATAGGTGTTTTCTGTCTCTCCCCTCGAATGAAATTCTGAGGAACTGGAAGGGAAAGAAGAGACAAAGTGCTGGGCTGTGGCTGCTGAGCTAAGGTGAACAACAAGGTCGAAGACGGGGACCCAGGCAGGAATTGAAGTAGGAGGACGCTGGGCCTGAGGGGTAGGAGGTGGATGATTCTGGAGCTCTTTGGAGCCACAGGAATCTAGTGAATCGATGGGTGGGGCCGTGTCTGTGATTAAAGGCCTTCCCCAGGTTCTCAAAAACACTTCCTCAGGTTCGGGAACTAAAGGTGCTGACCAGGATTTGGCCGAAAAGCCAGCCACCCTGCCCGAGGCGGCACAGCTCTGGACAGGAAATCCGGGTGACCACCACCCTTTAAGGATTCCAACCGCTGCTGGGGGTGCGGGTGTGCCGCTCAAGACCCCGGAATGCCCGCTCCCAGCTGATCCCGATCCCGATTTCCTGGGGCCACAGCTACAAAGCTCTCACAGCTCAACTTGCGATGGGGGTTATGGGGGTCGGAAGAGACAAGACTCCCCTAGATGTGCTGCCCTGGAGGTGGAGGCCTTGTTCCAAGAAATTTATCTTTCGAAACCACACCTGGGCTGGACAAGTGTGTGATGGAGAGAGGCAAGCAACTACCTTCCTAGACCCTCCGCTGAGAAAGAGGGGTGGCGCCTACACCCTTCAAGATTGGGGACGTAGAGACCCCAGCCCCCAAGCTTGGCTCGGGATACAGGGCCCCGCCCCACCTCCTCACCCTCCAGGGGCTGGGTCTCAGCCCGCCGGGCTTGGGAACCTTGGAGAAGGAACGCGAGCGCGAGCGTTCTCGGGGGCTTTCGGTGACTGCCCTTGGGGAAAGGGGGCGAGGAGAACTCACCGAAGTACACGGTTTTGTCGCACTTGGAGCATTTGGAGGCCATGGTCCAGGGCTGGATCGGTCTGTTCGCCGGCTGCCTTAGCTCCCCACGTTCCCACCCTAGGCTCGTCTCGCCCCGCCCAGCGCGCCGACCCGCCCCTTCTCGGGGACGACTGAAGGCGGGTCCTTTTCCCAACTCCCCCCATCCCGAGAGTCCCCGGGGAAGAGGGGGGGGGAACCCGGTCGGGGGAGGGGTTGTATACTACTCCCAGCCTCCCTTAACCCCAGTCCCGGGCCCCAGGAATCTAGAGTGACGTGATCCGGAAGACTGGGGAGGGGCTCAGCCCCACCCAACTCGTGGTTGATGGAAACGGGGAGGTGGTAGCCTAAGGAAAGAGGAGGCGGGCGGGGAGGGGGGGCGCAGCCAGACTTTTATTCCTGCAGATGGGAGTATGCGGGGGGTGGGAGGGTCAGGGGTTGGGGAGGGTTGGGAGAATAATCCGCGACTGCCTTCCCTCCTCTCCTCAAGGGCACGTGGAGTGGAAATGGCAGAACTTCGGAGTCCAAGCCCACAGAATCTCGGCGCAGAACAGGTGAACAGAGACAAGGTCACAGAGACTCAGTCGTGTGCACGCAGTGCTGGGGAGCGCTCGTAGCCCTTCTTCCCTTGGGGTGAGGGGAGAGCAGAGCTCTGCAGCTGCCCCAGGCCCCAACACCCTGGCTCCGGTTTCTTTTGTTGCTCAGGGTTTCCATGGAGACCGAGCGGTGAAAGTACTGGACTGGCTTGCTGGTTTGGGCGGCGCGCGCGTACACACACACACACACACAGCCTGCCCCACCCTCCTGGCCAGTCTGGACTTAAAAGACTCATGGGATAGGAATGAGAGAAAAAATTTGTAAGGTTTAAGGGACCAGGATGGCTGGGGAGGGCCTAGGGGAGAAGGGACCATTTCCACCTTCATCAACAAGCTTGCTTACAATACGGGAATTACGACAGAATCTAATCACTGACCAAGGTGAGGTACAGAGTCACCAGAGACATGGGGGAGACAGAGAACACCACTGGGTCAGGGTAAGATGCCTCAGATTCTAAGTGGAGTTTGATTTGAATGTCAGTCAGAGGCATCTTGACTAGAAAACAACAGTATGACAACTTAACGGCTACAAGGTATCACTGGAATAGTGTCCTGCTCAGGGGTAGGGGCTCCAAAGTAGTAGTTTGGTCAAGATCGGGTAACAGGAAACAGGAAGCAATGGCCAGAAAGGTTGGGGTGGAGTGGTTGCAAGATGGTAAGGACTATGTAAAAGCCAAGAGTCAAGTAGGATCTTGGCAAGCCTTCATGGCAGAGCAAGCTGGAAGGGAAGCAGGCCTTAGTTAGAACTAAAGCTGGGGCAGCTAGGTGGGGCAGTGGATAGAGCTCTGGCCTTGGAGTTAGGAGAGTGTGAGTTCAAATCCAGTCTCAGACACATGACACTTTCCCTGGGCAAGTCACTTAACCTTGATTGCCTCACCAAAAAAGCAAAAAAAAAAGAATTTAAGCTAAGAACTTGCCAGGAATTCACTCCTGAGGCCAACCCGCTCCAGATGTCTTAGTAGGTCACCCATTGTTGGCCCCTAATGACACTGATATTCTTTGAGATCCTGTAACCTGTACTAGGGGAAAACATTTGTCTTTCACCAATAAAGATCACAGGAGCATTTAGAGGTAGATCATCTTAAAATTTAGAGATCATCTCAATGTATCCCTCTCCTTTCATATAGGTAAAAAAAAAAAAACAGGCCCAGAGAAGATAAGTGACTTGCCCGACATCACACAGTAAGTGACAAGCAGAGATTCAAATCCATTTCCTCTGATTCCATATCCAGTGATTTTCCCACTATGTCTGGTTTATTCCTTCTTATTTCTCTGGACACCCAAGGCTAAGAACATGTCATAGGGGAGAAGGATTCAAAGATGGATGTGACTATAGTCCTGTTTTCCATTCCAGGTTCTCACAGAGATTTCTGTGCTACATGGGTGATGTCTCTAGAATAGATAGGACAGAATCACCTCATACTCTTTTACTGGGAGGAGGGTCAGGGAAAACTGGGCCCAAATACACAAACACCCCCAACAGGGAGGAGAGAGTGGTATCCATCCTTCTATCCCTCCCAGTGAATAAGAAAAAAACCTCTGGGTTTTTTTGTTTGTGACTGGCATGACCTCTCCCCGCTTCTCCATCAACTATTTACTGGGAGAGAACCCACCATTTAGATAGCTCTGAGGTCAAACTATCATTGTAATCTGCCAGGTAGCTTCCTTCATATTAAGGTCCATAGAAAACCAAGACTGAGGGAGAGATATTCACCAGAGTCTGAGAATAGGTATGATAACTATGTGCTTGTTGATTTTAAGCCAGCTCTGAGCTCTTTGTCTCAGACTAGGTATCATCTAGGGCAGGGTATGTTTACCCTCTTTGATCAGAGGTTTCTTGAGGACAGACAGAGGTGAATCTCCTTCTTAGTTTGGGATTCCCTGATGGTAGGGCAGCACCTTCTGTCCAAGCAAGCTCGTTGGTGGCAGGACTGTGTCTCTTCCTCCCTTACTCAGGTCTCTCTGAAGTCCCAGATCTACTACAAAGATGATGAGCCCCCTCTACCATCTCTCATCCCTGGTCTCAGGAAAAAATAAGGTGTTTCATGCTATTTAAGCTCTGCCTTCCACCATTCCTTCTGGGATTCCTGCTACATAATTAAGAAACTTGCTTCGGTCACACTTTCATTTATGTGTTGCCTTCTCCTTGGTCATGGTTGGGAGTTCGAATGCTCCTTGCTACTCTTTGCCACTTCCAGACACTCCCTCTATCACCATCACTCAGAAACTTCTCTTTTGAGGTTCATTCAATCCATGTTTATAGCCCCATCAAGATTCTGGTAACTGTTATCTCTTGATCTCCAGGACATTTTCTTCTCCTTTTCAATGAATTCAGTCAGTGCCTGGCTCTCAGTCTGTCTCTCTTCCCCACTTCCCACACTTATACTAGGGTACTTCAAAATACATGTTGATATTCCCTCAAATTCTTAACTTCCCAGATCTCCATGACTTCTTCACCTCATCTCAGCTACATTCGAACATGGCCATCACCCACAAGTGTTCTTCCATGTTCATAAATTCTCAATTCCTTTATCTGATTACAATCTGCAGTCATTCCACCTTCCAACCTGCCTGATGACCCCTAACCCTGTTTTTCCTTTTCACTAGGACCTCCAATTCTTCCACCTCAAAGTTCTATCCCAAGCCATCAATCCCTACACTAACTTCATTCTCCTCCCTTCCCCATTTTGATCCCTTGGTGAACCAGTTCATCTCTACACTATCCTCTTTTCTCAAGTCCCTTACTTCCTTATCCTGTTATCAATCTTTCCCTACCAAGCCCCAGCCTTAGATAACTCCTACCATCCTTTGGGAAAGGAGTATCTCCTATTACAGTAGTGTTGAATGAAGCTGGAGAAAATCACAATAGGTTCACTACAAATTATGTAACAGAATTTCAACTGAGCCCTCACTGTAGCAAGACAATCTTTTTAGACCAACTCCTTAATCATTTCACTATATCACCACAGCAGCTTTTCCAAGCTTTTTCATCCTCATCAAAAATGTCATGGCTTTTTCTGCCCTCCCTCTAAGCTAAGAAACTTGACTCATATTTCACTGAAAAAAAAAATGAGGCCAGTTACTGGGAGCTCTCTCTTCTCCTCTCCTCCTCATCTTGTATCATTCAGATGCCTTCTGCCACTATCTCCTCCCTCACCCCCATCTCATGAAAAAGTTGTGCTTCTTGCCAAGGCAAACCCTTTGCATGTAATCCAATTTCATTCCATCTTCTTTAGCAGATTGCACCCCTCTATCAACCTCACTCTTTCACTGATCTTCAATCTCCTCCTACAATCTCAGCCTACTGGCTGCTTCCTTACTGCCTACAAACACATCATGTCTTCCTCATCCTCAAAAAACATTTACTGGATTAATCTGTACTCACTTTTATGGCTAAACTCCTTAAGAAGGCTCTCTTCAATAGGTGTTTCCACTTCAATTCCTCTCACTACCTTCCTGCTCTCTTATGTCTGGCTTCCAACCTCATCTTTCAATTGAAACTGCTCTCTCTAAAGCTACAAATAGCCTCAATTGCCAAATCTAATGACCTTTTCTTAATACTCATCCTTTTAAAAAATTTTTTTGTTGTAAGTTTCAAATTGTCGACCTCCCTCTCTACCCACTGAAATGGAGGAGGCCACCATTTCATACAGAATGTGTGTGTGTGTGTGTAAAACCATACTATGCATATATACATACTTCTATTTATCAGTTCTTTCTTTGGAGGTAAATAGCATCTTCCTTCATAGGTCCTTTGTAGTTGATCTGAATATTTATAATACTCAGAATAGCATAGTCCTTTACAGTTATTCTTTCAACAATATTGCTTACTATATACAGTATTCTCTTGGTTCCGCTCATTTCATTCTTCATTATTTCATGCAAGTCTTTCCATGCTTTTCTAAAAATGAACCTGTTCATCATTTCTAACAGCATAATAGTACTCCATCACAATCATATACCACAGCTTCTTTAGCTATTTCCCATCTGATGGGGTTCCCTTTGATTTCAGTTCTTTGCTACCACAAAGAGAGCTACTATAAATATGTTAGAACATATAGATTCTTTTCCTTTTTCCCTGATCACCTTGGGAAACAGACCTAATACTGGTATTGCTAGGTCAAAGGATATACACAGTTTTATAGCTCTTTGGGCATAATTCCAGATTGTTCGCCAAAATAGATCAGTTCACAGTTTCATCAGTGTGTTAGTATTAGTGTCCCAATTTTTCCATATCCCCGCCAACATTTGTTATTTTTCCTTTCTATTATTTTAGTCAATCTGATAGGTGTGAGATATCTCAAAGTTGTTTTAATTTGCATTTCCCTAATCAATAAAGATTTAGAGCATTTTTTCATATGATTACATATGGCTTTGATTTCTTCATCCAAAAACTGCCTATTCATATCCTGGGGAATGACTCATATTCTTATAAATAAGGCAAAGTTCCCTATATATTCGACATGTGATACCTTTATCTGAGAAACTATAAAATTATCCCTCAATTT